ACACACGATCGGTGAATGACACAAACCGACCTGATTTTCATTACTGAAAAATTGAGGCCATAATAAGGGCCTGACCGTCATGGTGATGAGTTAAAAAAGTGAGGCCAGAATACGGGTCTGACCGTCAGTGTGATGGGTTAAAAAAGTGAGGCCATAATACGGGCCTGACCGTCAGTGTGATGGGTTAAAGCAAGTACGGCGGTACGCCAGGTGACTCTTCAGAGGCACGGCCCTCAAAATACGGTATATTGTCGGACCATTTCTCAATAATAGACCAAGCACCAAAATAGTCTAAATATCAAAATATTCCAAACATAAGAATAGTCTAAACATCAGAATACTTCAAATATAAGAATAGTTCAAATATCAGTACCTAGTCAAAATTTCAGAATAGTTGAAATTGTACAATAGTCGATTAGTCAGAATAGTTCGTACTTCAAAATAGTCCATTTACATGAATAGTCCATATTTTAGAATAGTCCATATTTCAGAATAGTCCACAGGTACTTCATAGTAATCCACATTTCAAAATAATCTACTTATCACAGTATTTAAAATTGGTAACGAAAAGGAGGGACTGTTAAATTAAGGCGAATGCTGTAGCCAAACTATTTCTCTGACTTATACTTCGACGACATCAGGTTTCGGTTGGACTCGGCAGAACATATTCTGAATCATGAGCCAAAAAATGTTGCCTTGGGGCATAAAAAATTCAAAGCTGCAGATGAGTGCAAAGAACGCAGCAAGAAATAAGCGACGTTCTCGTTGTGTAAATAGTTTTACCACGAATTCGCTTCTACAAAAGAATTACGAGGCGGAGAAAATAATCTCGCCACAAATTAAAATTTTAAATATTGCAGAACACGAGGCAGAAGACGAATTATTAACGAATTATTATTTATAATAATATTAAACATGAGGATTTGAATTTATTTTTAAGAAGAAAATTTTCTAAGCGGAAAGATCATTAGGACATTTTTTACACTTACACACAAAATACGAATTTAGATTCTGTGATGAAGTTTAAAATTAAATTCACGCAGTCAAAAAGGTGCTCAGTTCGAGATGACGTGGCAGTCGCCGAACAGCAACGCTATACGACAGGCCGACATCAGCATGGGGGCCAATAATGTTTCATCTAAGAGATGTTGAAAAATCCTAAAGTTTATAGAAAATAAACTTCCTTCTTTAGTGTTACTAAATGAAGGTTCCCTTTTGAAGAAATATTAAAAAAAATTCAAAGAATTAAAGCCCGACTCTAAACAATGCAATTTAGTTAAGCAGTCTGGGATTTTTCAGGACTAATATGGTGCAGATATACTCATGTTCGATTAATTTTGAAAATATTCATGGCCGATTGCTAGTTAAACGTCCTGTGGCAACCTTTACTTGTAACTATTGTGATAAGTCATATTAAATTTAGTTACCTTTTCGTTATCAGCATTTACTTTCACCCATTAAAATTAATTAAAACCCGTGAACTTTTTACCGGTAAAAATATAACTTGTCGACGAAAATTAATTGGATCAAAAACTGTTGAATAAAAAGAAATATTTGACTAGTAATTTATTTATATCACGTAAGGCGAGCCCGACCGCTTGTCCACAGCGCGGTTCTTGTTGCAGCGGTGCAGCGCCGGGGCAAAGAGAGGCTCAGCTGGAAGCTCGATCCGGAACACGTCATGTTCATGTTCAACTCCTGGCACTGGAACGCGTCATGTTCATGTTCAACTCACTGGAACGCGTCATGTTCGTGTTCAACTCCTGGCACTGGAACGCGTCATGATCATGTTCAACTCCTGGCACTGGAACGCGTCATGTTCATGTTCAGCTCCTGGCACTGGAACGCGTCATGTTCATGTTCAGCTCCTGGCACTGGAACGCGTCATGTTCATGTTCACCTCCTGGTACTGGAACGCGTCATGTTCGTGTTCAACTCCTGGCACTGGAACGCGTCATGATCATGTTCAACTTCTGGCACTGGAACGCGTCATGTTCATGTTCAGCTCCTGGCACTGGAACGCGTCATGTTCGTGTTCAGCTCCTGGCACTGGAACGCGTCATGTTCATGTTCAGCTCCTGGCACTGGAACGCGTCATGTTCGTGTTCAGCTCCTGGCACTGGAACGCGTCATGTTCGTGTTCAGCTCCTGGCACTGGAACGCGTCATGTTCGTGTTCAGCTCCTGGCACTGGAACGCGTCATGTTCGTGTTCAGCTCCTGGCACTGGAACGCGTCATGTTCGTGTTCAGCTCCTGGCACTGGAACGCGTCATGTTCGTGTTCAGCTCCTGGCACTGGAACGCGTCATGTTCGTGTTCAGCTCCTGGCACTGGAACGCGTCATGTTCGTGTTCAGCTCCTGGCACTGGAACGCGTCATGTTCGTGTTCAGCTCCTGGCACTGGAAC